CCTTTTGTAGTTGAAGTTCTATAGCTTGATTCAGAAGCTCTCAAGGCAAAGTAAGCATTGAAATAGCATCCCTGGACCTCAAGGAAGCTTTTCCAATCATCACCTTGCACTGAAGGTTCCTACATTTCCAGTTTGAACTTCAACTGAACAGGTAGGTTTTTGAATTCGTATCTCTCTTATAAGGCATTGTTAGCTTTAGGTTTGTGAAGAGAACATGTCATAATCATTGCCCTGAACATGCCCATATAAGTAGATTTTATTTATATTATGTGTGTTGCAAGAATTTGATGCCTGAACTTTGAACAAAAATTAGGTTAAAATTTGGGAGAGAAGAAATTCTCTCTCATTTCTGAGAGTTAGTTCATGTTCTTTATATGTATAAAATCGTGAGATTATGCTTTACATGTTTTGTGTTGGAAGTTTGTTCAAATGATCAAAGAATCAGGACCTTGATGTTGAAGCAAGAGGCGCGCGTTTTTGAACTCAGTCTTGGCCAAAGGTTGAAGACAGTGTCTTCTTGGGCTGGGCTTTTGAGTTATTTCTCTTCACACCACTTTTTTTTGATTCACACCCCCTGAGCCCATTTGTTCATTTTTTAACATTTTTGACTTTTTCCTTTTTTGTTTGACTTGTTTATTTTTTCCCAGCACATTAAAATTTTGAAAATATTTTTTCCATCATTTTTTGTATTTATTGCATATTTATTTGTTTATTTCCTTTGTTTATACATAAACATTATATATATACTATTATTAGAATAAATATAAAAATAGTGTAAATACATTTTTATTATTTTTTTACCTTCTGAAAAATATTTCACATAAAAATACTTTTTTTATTTATTTTATTAAAATATTAAATATATATTATTTTGTATATAATGCATATTTAAGAACTTAATATATATATATATATATATATATATATATATATATATATATATATATATATATATATATATATATATATATATATATATATATATATATATATATATATATATATATATATATATATATATATATATATATATATATATATATATATATATATATATATATATATATATATATATATATATATATATATATATATATATATATATATATATATATATATATATATATATATATATATATATATATATATATATATATATATATATATATATATATATATATATATATATATATATATATATATATATATATATATATATATATATATATGTGTGTGTGTTTATTAATATATTTAAGTTAAAATATAAAAATACTTGAATTTTTCATTTTATTAATATTTGATACAAAAAATACTTTTTTTTCATAATATACTTCATTTCATTTTTATTTTTGTAAATAATAAATAAGTGTTTGTATTAAATCAATTAATATCCATTTTCATTAAAATTAGGGTTTTTTGCCCTCAATTCAAAATACTCCAAAAAATAATATATTTTTATTTTCTTTTCCCTTTTACATAAATAATATTTTTCATACATATACAAAACATTTCTTTTGCATCTTGCATTCTTATTTAATTTTTGTATATTGATTAAATTGCAAATATTCAAAAATGATGTAATAATTTAGATTTAAATTCTTGTCAATATCCCCATTTGAACATTTGTACCCCCCTTCCCATATTTGGTTTTGTAATAGCTTAGTAAATTTAAATTTCGCGCTTTATTGCTTTCTAATAATAACATGTTAGAATTAGGGTTTGTATGTGAAAAACGACAAAAATAGTCATGACCTAATCTCAAGATAAACAAGCATGAAAATGGACACACAAATCACACTTGCACCCCCTAGGGTATTCCACTTGTTGCCTTCAAAATTGGGCCATATTGCATGTTGAACTTCTTTGGGCAAAACAAACAAATTGAATGATCATAGTCCCTCGATAAAACTCTTCAAAACAAACAAAAACAAATGATCAAGTCCCTTAAAGAAAATTGCCCAAAGACCTTTAACACTATTGCAATTATGGTCCAAACGATGACCCGCGCCTGTCCCTCTCATCTCCTAAGACAAGATTGTCCACCAAATGCAATGGTGGAACAAAATTGTCAAAAGGTTTAAAACATAACAAAAATCTTTGAGAAAGCTTTAGGGTAGATAAACTCTTAAGTACTTGTCAATTTGCAAAGAAAACACTTGCCTAATTTCAAAACCCACTTCACAAACACTTTCAAAATCAACTTTTCAAACCCTTGAAACATCTTTTTTAAAAGATAAAACACCTTTTGTAAAACATTCGAGTAAAGAATTGTTACAAGGTTAGCCTAGCACAAGGCATCTTTTCAAAACATTTTCAAAACCATACACAAAGCACCATTTCAAACAAATTGAAAAATAAGGCAAGTTGATCTAAGCAAGTACCTAAGAGCCCATGGATAACCATGGATAGAAGGGGTGTTAATACCTTCCCCTTCTATAATCTACTCCCCGAACCCAAGAAAAATCTCAAAGGTTTTTGCTGTGCTTTTTAAACCTTTCCTTAGGATAAAATAAAAAGTCGGTGGCGACTCTTGCTCAACCGAAACATTTGCGAAAACAAACGCAAAACCATAGTCAGTTCTTCCACCGTATCACACATGGCTTTGAAGAGGCGACGAACCTTCTATGTTAGGTATTTCTTGAATCTCTTGCATATCTCTTGCATGCATCATGCTAGTTTTATTTATTGCTAGAAGCATATAATTTAGTTACATATAAAATCCTACCTTGAAGTAGGAAATTTATGACTTGAATACCTACCTTGAAGTAGGCAATGTTTGATTTAAAGACCTACCCTGAAGTAGGAAATTTCTTATTATTTTAAGACCTACCTTGAAGTAGACAAATTTTAATTATTTTAAGTCCTACCTTGAAGTAGGCAATGTTTAATTTAAAATCTTACCTTGAAGTAGGTAATTTCTTACTTGAAGACTTACCTTGAAGTAGACAATGTTTGATTTAAAGTCCTATCTTGAAGTAGGCAATTTCTAACTTGAAGTCCTACCTTGAAGTAGGCAACGTTTCTTTTCTGTATGCACTTGTGCAACAATTTTGGGATTTTCGTCACATAAAATTGATAAAAAAAATAGGCTTTATGTTTCATTGAGTGGTCATGCGATTAGAAAGCTTTGTCATTGATCCTTTACCAAGGAAGCTTTGTGTAGAGTTCTCTTATTGCTTGTGTGGTTTTAAAGAGGAAACAAACCTTCTCCATTAGATATCACTTAACCTCTCTTTACTCCCTCATTTTTGCATATTTTTCAATTAATATTGCCATGAGAAGTAGGATAGAGATGCATGACTGGAAATTCTACCATCGTAGGCTATATTTTATGTGTAGCTAAGTATTGATGTTGCTTTGACCTTAAGCCTTGAGTGCTTGTGTGATTGTTGATTGCTTTTGACTTGGTTTTTAATGCCTTAGGGTAGAACCGCTTATGCATGACCCTTAGGGGAAAATTAGTGTTTTGTGTGTGACACATTCATTCTATTTGATTGATCACTTGAAGTATGCATCAGGGCTTAGACTTGTTGGATCATTGCTTGCTTGTTAGGTGATACACTTAGGAGTTTGGTAGGCTTGTAAGCCATTTTATTCTGTTGTTTACATCTTTGGTCTTGCCTTTGTATGCTCCTTTAAGATTCACTTTGTTCCCTTATAACCAATAAATACATTAGGATTTTAAACCATCCATGCTAACAGTAGGTATATTTTCCCTTTTGTTAATCCAAACTTTAGGACCGCCATTATATGATAACACTAGGAATAGAATCTCCATTAGATTTTTCCTTCCCCTTTTTGCATGTTTAAGACTAAAACTTCATTTTCTTAATCAAATGTTGAAAAAAATAATAATAATGATGCAAACTATATGATCGTGACTTTAAGATTCTACCGGGTTAAACAATTACAAGTGTACAGTCTAATCGCTTAGTTTTAAAAGATATCGAACCCACGGGGACTAATTGTCAAACTGATGTTATCTATCGTTACTACGTCAAGCTAAGACGAATAATTATCTTAGGGTAATTGAGAATTAATACTAAACTAGAATTAATTGGAAAATATTATAATATCAAGAGTCGGGGTTTACATTCCGTGTTCCTCAGGGACTCTGTAACTTGTTGGCTATAGTGACGTTAAACATGTGTTTAGTAGAAAATATCTATTTAAAGACGATATCCCACACTCTCGTGGTTTTGAATAAAGTCATGTTTCTTAACCCTGAGATTTTTCTCTCGTTCGCCCATTCAAATCAAGGAACATATTTTGAAAACTGAACAAGTTCTAATCGACACCTAAAGTGCTCTCGCCCTCTTTAGGAATCGATGCCTCATTATTAATATCTGGTGCGACCCCCACGCTCTCATAGTGTCGGCTCAAACCTTATCAAATTTCTCACTCTCGTGACAAAATCTTGTTAAATAACCTCTCACTCTCATGACAAATCTATTTAAAATAAGTTTAATAAACAAAATACGAAACTGAATTTTCGAAATAAATAACTAAGCCAACTCGTTACTGAGTCTCGTCGAAAATGACCATACTTACATACCAGACTCTAAATGTTTAGTCGGTCATACTTTTAAACGAAAATAGATTAAAAATGTATAATGATAGAGGATAACATGGAAATTGAATTTAAAGAAACAAACTATAATGATAATGCAAATAAATTGAAACCTGTAAATACGAAAACTTTAAATGGAAATAGACTTTGATTATAACGGCAAGATTTGTGATCCGAGAGTGCATACAAGAGTAGTATTTGAGTTCCTAATTCGATAGCGCTTCGCTAGCAGTTACTTGGTACCTAGAAATAACTAACTCGGGTCTATTTATAAAGTTACAAGTCAAGTGCTACTTCTAAAACGTGTAAAACTTCCTATAGAAAATATAGGAAAGTGGAGGAAGATACAATCTGTTATGTTTTCCATGTTTTTTGGTCTTGTGGTGCATGGCGACCGCCATAGGCTCATGGAAACCTCCATGAGCATGCTTCATTGATTGACATGGCTGTGTGGCCATGGCATCCACCATGGTGTTGGGGGAAACCTCCATATTAGCAGAGGTTGATTTCTGAACTGTTTTGCTTCATTTTCTTTGATCCCGATGCATATCTCTTCTCGAATCAGCAAGGTACCTGAAACACAATAAGAGCGATATAAAAGCAAGATAAAAACGAAAAACAAAACAAGATAGCATGCGAATAGAGTCGTAAAATGTGATGTGTTTTCAAGTTAACAAACTCTCCCACACTTAGACCATTTCTTGTCCTCAAGCAATCAACCAATGCAAAGCAATTTGATACACGGGTTTGAAAACATGCCCACAACAAAGACTCTTATCATACGTGGTTGCTACGCTATTGTCAAATAGATAGGTACTAAATGTCACTACCAAGGATACCGTAATGACACAAGCCGGAAACTACTATCCTATGAAAACCAATCTGAATCATGCTATTATAACTCGGCCTATGCTTTTCATCTCTTTTCACCAACTTTCATTCTAGCACAATCACATTAAGCTCGTTATTTGTACGCGCTCATAGTAGGGGGGTCGGTTAGTGACTCTGATATTTCTTAAGCAAGGGGTTCTGGTACTAAGGGGTGCATCCCCACACTCTTAGAGCATTGTGACATAAATCAAATGAAAAAATTTCAGTTGGGAGCCAATTTAAAGGGAGTTAACAACAAAAGAAAATAACACGCACAAATGACTCGATGACACATGATATAATTAAATAAAAATTGAAAATATAAATTCTAAAGGAATGAAAATAAAACTAAGAATGTCATCAAGAGTGGCAGATGTGCCCTCATTCGTTCTTCTGGGTCGACGTCTGGATGATGTGCCTGCAACATTTTCACAAGAAACATGTGTGGTGTGTGGGTGTGTATTAGTCTCAGGAGTAACACGCTCTATCACATCATAATCATCATCAGTTCCATTCACCTCATTGACCTAAGAATCTATGTTAATGCCAGGTGCTGAGGCATCTAAATCAAAGAGCAAATTCAACATGTTTTGCACATCAATCCTTTCGAAGTTAGGAAGAATGATGCATCTAACTAATTTACTTTGGAATGTCGAGGAATACTTACCATATGGCCTATATGTTATCATTTGTATACTGCGGCAAGCATATTTATCCAGAAAAGTGGAAGGCAATGGCACTAACGGGGTTAAGCTAGCATTAAAACTAAGCGTGACGGCTATTGATGTAACTAACCATCCGATACAAATGAGGCCAGAAGCCCTAGCGGTGAAAGCATGTATATGAGTAAGCATGAAAGGTGTGGGGTTTACTCGCACTTGTGTTAGTGCGCATTGCAAAAACTAAAGATCTTTAGAATTTGCCTTTTTATTGTTTTCTCGTCGAAACAGTGTGTGGGCAAGAAGGCAGTGCAGAACCTAATAGTTGGGTTGTGGATGGAAGTAGATGTGAGACCCTCCCAACCGGAAGTGGTTTCCCTAGTTAATCTATTTCAAAAGTTGAAAGCCTCAAGGGCCCGATCGCTTTCGATGGTTTCTCAACAAGACCAACCTTCCCCGTGAGGAAAGTGAAGTAAATCAGCTATTTGATCTTGGCTCACGTTATAGCTAACACCAAACATTCTAAACCTAACAGTGCCTTGGGTGCATCCCCCGGTGAGTGGAGTGATATATTGGAATGAGCTTAGAAATTCGTATGTGAGCCTAACATATTTGGGGATGGTCATGACACAAAAATCAGTCATTCCTAAATCACCTAACATCCACCCAACACTACTATATAGCCCTAGTTCACGTAAAGTAGTTTCATCGACATACCTTGTCGGCGTGATGTTGTGGTTGAATAGTTTAGTGTACCGTTCCCTTTGGTTTTCTCTGTCAATCCCCTCCATGAAATTTATTCCCAATGTATCAAGTTCCCTTCTCGTTATCATCGCTCTTGGAGGCATGATGGAAATTTAGAAATTAGGGATTTTGTGGAAGAGAAAGGAATGGAATAAAAGTAGAGAATTTAGAGAATGGTGTAATGGAATTGGTGTTAATAGGTTTTTAACGAGTATGAATGAATTAGAGGAAGTGGGGAAATTATGGAGGTGGTGGAAGATAAATGGGTGAGTGGGAAAAAGTTTTTTTGATGATTGGAAGTTTGAAATTCATGGGAAGGGAGGTTATAACGCGTTTCTTCCCACTCAATAGCCATGGCAGGCGCCATAGTGTGTTGGAGAGTGCCATGATTATAAAAACACATTGTCCAAACACAACCATTGTGGCGAGCGCCAAAGGCCAATGGTGACTGCCATGGGCATAAAACTTGCAGATTTTGCAGAAGCTCAGTTCTACTTCAGAGGCAATCGAATTTGGCAATACAAAAGTTATTTTAAGGCCATATAATCTTTTAAAGAATAGATATAGTTGACAAAAAGTTCAACAATACGAATATTTAGCCTTGAACAAGCGTTTTTTTTAGAATTTACGGATATATTAGAAAATTTTGCAAGAAATAAAGAAAATACTTAATCAATAAACGTGCATTACTGAATTGAAAAGTTTAACAATAAATTGTATCAACTGCAAAAAACATAACTAAGTGAACATCATAAAAAATTGGAAATCCTAACTAGAAAACAATAAAGTCCTAACTAGAAAGCATAAAATCCTAAAATTAATGTTAATCCTTCCCTCACACTTAAACTAAACAATGTCCTCACTATTTAAATGTCAGATTAAGGAATGCGGTAATAATCAGATGAATTAGCCACTACGGCGCCCGTCCCTAGGAGGAGCAAAAGAGTAGATATGCTGATAGATTTGATCATATTGCTCTGTAACGATGTCCATAAATCCGTGGAAGCCTACGTGCAATATGGTCAACTTTCCTCTAAGATTAGCAACATTTGTTTGCAGTTTAGTGATAACAGCAGTGTGATCAACAGGCGGGGTAGCAATGGCACTTTAGTCAGCGTCAAAGAGATATGCATCAAAGTGGTCATAGATTTGAGGTGTTATTGGAGGAGATGGTTGTTCATCTTGTGGTCCCTCCAAATCAAAGAGGCAATTGTTTCTGTCGTGTACACTAGTCCTATGGTTTGGAAAGGTAAATAGGTTCATAACTTGATTATTGATAAGAAATTCAAACTCATATGGTCCTAAGTTTCCAATCATACCACAATTAAAACATAAAGGAATATTCATGGGTCTAAATCCTCCTATGATGTTAAATCTGATAAGTTGTTGTCTCAGGCCAATGGCATTGACGATCATGTTGACTAGGCCCCCTACAAGGGTAGGTCCATAGGTAGCTTGTGCAATCAAGTTCATGTTAGCTATCATAAAGGTAGCTTCATTTACGGGTCAGGATTACGAAGCACGATATAGAATAAATAGTTTCTCTCTGGACACTGAGGTTATCTTTTCTTCTTTTCCAAAGAGTGAGTGTGCTAGGATCTTGTGAAGGTAACAAATAGTTGGATTATGGATGTTTTCAGAGTGCATATCATTAGGCTCGGGATGGTTGTTTCTGATTATTCTACCCCAAAAGAAATTTAGTTTAAGGTTCATAATTGGTTCCTCTTATGTAGTGGTATGCATGTGAGGTACATTAGGGAAATCCAGGAGTTCGGCCATTTCTCTGTGGTTGTAGCGATATAAATACCAAACATCCTAAAAATGATAAGTCCTTTATTATACCCTAAGCCATGGGTAGGAAAATACGTAAGGGAGCTCAAAAATTCAAGGTTTAGCCTATGGTAGGTACTGAATCTTCTCCTAACAGCAAAGGTATCCCAAACAAGTTAGTTAAGGAAAAACATGACATTATATCTAATTACTAGTTTGGTCATAGTTAGTCCATCATGGTAGATAGTTAAAGCCATCTCTCTTTGAGTAAGAGCTTCAACACGCCTCCTCTGGGCCCTGCCTCTGAATAAAATTCCCATTGTGTCTACTTGTTGCATCGTGAAAGTTAGTTTGGAGTTAGAGAAGTTATGTTAGCCTGAAAGTAAGTAGACATAATACTAAGTTAGTAATGGATAATTCTAAAGAAAATAATGCGTAACATTATAAAAATAAAAGGAAAAATAAATATAATAAGAAATAAAAAAACTAAAAACCAGAATTCAAAAATAAAGTAAAAAATGTGGGTTGCCTCCCACCAAGCACTTCATTTAATGTCGGGAGCTCGACATTGATTCAGGTGCTAGTTTTATGAATGAGTAGGAAGCTCTTGTAACTGGTAATCGAAATAATAATCCCGATTCTCTACATTATGGTAATGTTTAAGGCGCTGCCCGTTCAAAATGAATGACTTTTTTGATCGAATTTTAATCTCTACGGCTTCGCTTAGAAATACTTTCTTAACCTCAAAAGGACCCAACCGCCTAGATCTTAGTTTACCCGAGAAAAGTTTAAGTCACAAGTTAAAGAGGAGTACTACGTCCCCCTCATTAAACTCTTTTCTGGATATGCGTTTATCATGCCACTTTTTAGTTCTTTCTTTATAGATTCAGGCATTCTCATAGGCGTCTAATCTAAGTTTTTCTAGTTCATTTATATCTATAGTTCTCTTTTTGTTAGCGGAAATGTAATTCAGGTTAAGGGTTTTAATGGCCCAATAAGTTTTATGTTCTAGTTTTATTGTAAAATGACATGATTTTCCATAAACTAGCTTAAATGGTGTGGTTCCTATTGGTGTCGTGTAAGCTGTCCTATATGCCCACAGAGCTTCATGTAGCTTGGAAGACAAATCCTTCCTAGAGGTTGCAACAATTTTCTCTAAAATTTTCTTAATCTCTCTATTTGAGATCTCGGCTTTCCCACTAGTTTGTGGGTGATAAGGGGTTGCTACCCGGTGTCGGACTCCATATTTTAGCAACAGTTTTTCAAAGTTTTTTGAAATGAAATGGGACCCTCTGTTGCTTATGACGAGTCTCGGCACACCGAATCTAGGAAATATTATACTCTTAAAAATCTTAATTACTACTCGTTCATCATTTTTAGTATAGGATAAAGCATTGATCCATATTGATACGTAATCGATAGTGACGAGTATGTACTTGTTACCAAAAGAAGATGGGAAAGGCCCGATAAAGTCAATTCCCCAAACATCAAAGACTTCTACATCTAAGATGTCTTTTAATGGCGTATCATCGCGTCTATATATATTCTCAGTGCATTGACACCAGTTGCAATTTATAACCGAGATATGGACATCTTTCCAGAGATTAGGCAAGAAGAGGAAAGCTTGTAAGATCTTAGCACAAGTCTTTGAAATGTTTTCATGCCCTCCATAAGGACTAGAATGGCAATGAGATATTATGATTTCTACTTCATCTTCGTGGAAGCATCAACAAAATATACCATTTGCGCCTCTGTTAAACAGAAGGAGCTCGTCCCAATATTAATTTTTAAGACCATGAAAGAATTTCTTCTTTTGTTGGTAAGTCAGATCTGGTGGAAGTACTCCGGCTACTAAGTAATTGACAAAATCAGCATATCATGGTAGTGTAGTTTTAGTGTAAATAGCTTCCACAAATTCATTTGTTTGTGTCATTATAAGTTAAAGAGCATCCAACGAGGTTACTCTCTAACTAGGCTATGAGTCATTCATAAGGGAAATCGTCATTGATAGGCACTTGTTTCTGATTTCAGGTCCTCAATCCTAGAATAATGATCAACTACTACATTTTCGGTGCCTTTCTTATCTTTGATTTCTAAATCGAATTCATGTAAGAGCAAGGTCCATATTAAAAGTATTGGTTTAGCGTGTTTTTTATTTAATAGGCACCCAATTGCTGCATGGTCGGTGTAAACAATTATTTTAGCTCCTACTAGGTAAGAACAAAATTTATCTAATGCGAACATGATAGCTAGGAGTTCCTTTTCTATTGTGGAATAGTTCATCTGTGCATGGTCTAAGGCTCTACTTGCATAGTAAATTACATGAAGCTTTTTGTCCTCCCTTTATCCTAGGACAACCCCTACAACATAATCACCAGCGTCACACATCATCTCAAACGGTTTACTCCACTCAGGTGGCTGCATTATAGGTGCAATAATAAGAGCATTTTTGAGATGTTCGAACACTTCCAGGCATTTTTCGTCAAAGATGAACTCAACATCTTTCATTAGTAAGCTAATTAGTGGTTTGGGTATTTTAAAGAAATCTTTAATGAACGTTGGTAGAAACTGGCATGGCCCAAAAAACTTTGTATTTCTCTAACGGTTTTCAGAGGTTTAAGGTTTTCAATAATTTCTATTTTCGCTTTATCTACTTTAATCCCCTTGTCGGATACTATGTGTCCAAGTACAATCCCTTGTCGGACCATGAAATGACATTTTTCCCAATTTAACACGAGATTTACTTTTACACATATTTCAAGTACAATTTCGAGGTTCGATAGACATCCTTCAAAACTCTACCCACAAAAAGAGAAATCATCCATAAAAACTGAAGGTGTGAGAAACACAATAAAGGAGGTTTGAATTGGGTTTCATCAAAAATAGTTTTGAATTCTTTTTCGATGATGAAGGATCAAGTTAATCTAGAACATAAATATAAATGAACGCAATTATTTTTATCCTAGTTCACTGTTAACGAAACTACTCCAGTCCACCCATCAAGGTGATTTCTCCTTCAACAAGGACTTAATCCACTATAACCAAACTGATTACGGATAATCTATAATAAGCCAGATCAATCTAATTGGCACCCCTAATAAGTACGTTGATCCTTATTGCAAATCTACTCCAGTCGCAGCAAGATTCTTCTTGAGATCATACATTCACTCGGCCTCTTAAGGTATCAACCAACAATTGTTGAGTTCTTTCAATATATTATATATTTCTACTTGTAAGCAGATTACACAGACATTTCAGTATAAAGAAAACACCTAAGTGTTTTACAACATGATATGCGCAATAACTCCTTGACTATTTACAAAACTATACACAAAATATTTTCTCTGAAGAGTTTGCACAGTGCTTTGGTGTAGTTTTTCTTGAGCTTGATTTAGTCTGTTATATTTTTTGTAATGTTAACTCTTACTTTTCTTCAGCTTCCAAGTCTTTCTTTTATATCTTATAAAAGAGACCCGTTGAAAGGGTATGAAGGTAATCATAAATCCAGTTGTTTGTTCTCAACGGTCATAAAGAGAGTGGTCACTGTATAGTACAAAAAATTCATGTCCTTACGCCACCCTAGAGAGTAGAGGTCATAAACACTTTATGTAACATTTGTACACCATCACATGT